GAATTGATCAAAACAATAAAGGATTATTGAATTAGTAAGATTTTGTACTGCCAAAATTATAAAGGATGATTTTAGCAAAGGTTTGCTAAATATGACTATGACATCAGAAATATTAAAGCACTTTACCTGTTCATTGTATTCAAAGGCAAATATATTTGAATATTGAATTAATTTATAATTTCCAAGTTCTTCATAATAAAGTATTTATTCTGGCTAATAAAGTTTTTGTGATAGATATTCTTGGAAAAAAAATAAGAATTAACAATTTGAGAACCCTATACTTCAGATCAGTTAATAAGAAATGTGATTTGGAGAAAAGAATGGGATATTTATAATTTTTTAAATAAATTATTAGTTATTAGTTGACTTTTTAGACCTTAATTATTTCAACATCCAAGTGCATATCACCAACGTAATTTCTACGCATATAAAATTCAGACATAACCTTTATTTATTTATTTGTTCTATCAACTAGATAATAATCTTCCATACTTTCATATACTTCATATTGATTCCTATTTACTGTCATGTATATTTTATTTGTTTAACAATTCTGAAAATAAATTATATTCTCAACTTAAAAAACTAACAGGTACAAAGACTTCATAGATATTAGTTAAACCTTGCCTTTAAACTTATATCTTGTTAATTGTTAATAGCAATGGTTTTCTATTTTTTCTTCATTCCAGATACTAAGGTTGATTATATTATTCTGATTATCTAAAATAGAAAAGTTTTGTTAGGGATATGATTAAAGCCATTCGTTACTAAAGTTAATTTTTTACTTGTCTTAGCAATTTTTGAGGATTCTTGTTGATTCTTTTGCTGTATTCTTCCCATCCATCTCATCTTGATATTACATTTTTAAACAACTTATTAATGATTATTTACCTGTTTTTTAAGCTTTCTAAATAATATAAAGAAATTGTTATTTGGGGTAAATAATGCTACTAAATGGAAAATATCTATAGAATTATAGCAAATTATTAGTTTTGTCTATTTAATAAAATAAGTTATCCTCTTTTAGAAAGGTTAATGATGAATTAAGAATTTAATATGTTTGAGTTAAGTGTTCATCAATACTGATTATGAATTCCGTTTAATTTTATAGAAAGAAGAGCTGGGAAGAATAATATAGTTGTTCGCCTCGAAAAGGATAATTTAATATAACTTCGTTATCGAAATTTTAAATTAGTTTCGCATTGTTTTCTTTAATATATGTGGCTAGAATAATATTGGTGCATTGATTAATCAGTATCAGTTTTAAGATTAGATTTTTGCTCTTAAATACTAAATAATATATTCCATTTTAGGTCCATCTAACTTGAAGGTAATTATTTCCTTCTATAAGATAAATAAGTTATTTGAAGAAATCACAAACTTATACATCATCAACATAAGAAAATTCTTAAAGAGAGGAATTAGATTCCTTCATTTAGATTGCAATATAATTTTCATTTCCTTATCATTAATTTCAACAATAATCCATTCTGAACATTAGAAAAATGCTATGATAAAATAATTGTTTTAAATAATTTTTTCTTGCTTCATGTTGCATTAATTTTAAACTTAAATAGAAACATTAAGTTCATTAATAAGTTGTGTATCGCCTGTTAGACTTACAGAATATAGTTTTAAATAAAATTCACTCAAACAAATTAGATAGAAGCTTTCACTCAATAAATGAATTTCATCACAAATTTCTTACGATGAAATAGTTGTCTCTACTTTAAGCTGTATTTTTGAATTCCCATTATTTTTTTCAAAATCTAATGTATCAAAGCTGATACATGTAATATAATATTGCTAATAATTAAGAAATAAGGAACAGATAAGCTTTTCTTATATTTTGACATAATCTTAAATTTTGAAAACTTTAGTTTAGATTGGTGTGTCTTTGTAGGGAATAATAAAGGATTTTTATACAATTTCTTTTTCAATACTTTTCAATTAGTAATAATCCTCCTCATTCCCTTCCAATATAAAACAATTGGCAAATTATGATTTAGATGCTAATACGGGTTATACTTTTTGAACCTCACAGGTGATTGCGTATGAGTTTAATAGAAAAATGCGAAACCCAAAAATTATGATAAAGAATTACATATTCTATATTTTTTCTAAATTATTTAAATAAGAATACAATTATTAAGTAAAAAACTAACTCCAAATCCCTAGTCTAAGATATTTCATTTTAGCATGTGAACAAGATTAATAAATATCATTTTTTTCCATATTATTGAAACTAAGAATAAGCTTTTGACATTTCTACTAATAGATTTGAAGTTATTATATTAATCTTCTTCATTTTCCACCATTAAAATTTCATATAATATTTCTTTCAATTTATTTCTAAACTATTTTTGTTATTGTGGTATTTCTTTTACTTATTAAAAGATATCACATAACAATAAACTCTTCATTAATTCACTTCAATTAAGAGGAGTTTATATATTACTATGGTAATTAGATATTCTATTTAATTATGTTAAAAGAATTATAAATTTGAAATTAGAATAACCATTTGGAAATATTTTTGAGTTAAGCAAATTATAAAGGCAATTTAAGATTCTTAGTCAATATTCACTTTTTTTCCAACTATTCAAATATTAAATCAGATGCACAGATTTTAGTTTTTGTGAATTAAAATTAATATTTTTAAGAGAAATGACAAATTGTACAGAAATGTAATATATAAATCAATTAATAATAAATTTTAGAGCCAGTGAATAGAAAATTAAATCATATTCTAAATATCTTTATTAGCCTTCATGTAATTTAGATTATTTTAACAAATCTGAAGAAACCTAAATATTGAAAGGAGCATATTATATTATCAAATACCCTACCTGATTATACTTCAAAAGATATAATCCAGGATCAAATTAATGAAAAATAAGGGCAATTATAAACAAAAAATTAGTTTGGAATGATTTCAAATCACCGTGATAGTCAATAATAAGAATATTATATTTAATTTATGAGTGATCTAACTTTTAATCTTGATTATAGTTTACTCAACAGAACTTAATGCATAACTTATAGGAAAGCTTTCTTGTTGTGCATTTGATAAATCATGAATAGATATTTCTAAAGCGACCAAATCCTAATTTAATATTTTTAAATTATTAACCTTAATTTGGATAGAAATTCTTATTTCAATAAAATCAGACGAAATGAAACCCAGAAAGATGAATACACTTAAAAAGCTTGTAAGTATTTATAAAAATTTGTTATTTACATTTCTAGCAGATTAATGAAGCTGTTTTCAAGTATATATGTAAGACTTTTAAGAGAACATAACTAATTGTTAGGCAATATAATAATATTTGGAAATTTTATTTCTCCAATAATTAAAACGATATCGATTTAAAACTAGATACTCTGTCAATTTTATTCTTCATCAAAATTTTGTAATATCCTAACAAAAAACAATAACTAAGAATGGTATATTTTTAGAAAGAATGAACTTCCTAAAGAAAATCAAGATTTAGAAATATGAATTATTATTTTCAATATATTTTCAAGAATTTGAATAATGATTTGTTATTTAAGGCTTTTAAACATTCATCTGAATTTTTTAGAAATATATACCTCTTCTATTTTTAGTCCATTAATGATTTGGTATTATCGTTAAAGCTTTTTCATAAAATGTTATGGCATCTTTAAATTAATTCTGCTATTGTAAACAAAGACCTATTGATAGTAAAATACATCAACCTTTTGACCATAAAGAATCAAAATTATTTGGATTGATTGATAAAGATTACTCAATCACCAACATAGCTTCATTAAACATTCTCAATTATGTTAATATGGTACCTTCAAATCAAACATTTTTCATACCCTTGCAAAATAATGAACTACAATGCTTTGGATCAATTTCCAGCGCTTTATCTGCCCAGATGATTGCTTCATTGAATTAACCAAGCATCCTTAAACTCTCAGCTAA